TGGGCAATCTCTTTTGAAGTGACTTGGTTGATCACAGTTGTAGCAATTTCTAGCTCTTGATTTAGATCGGTTCTTTGACTTCCCACGAGTTCCGGATCTACCATAGTTGTTCGAACTCCTTTGATAACTCCTGCCTCTACCTTCTGTGATGAGAGCCTGTCCTTGATTTTCAGGCTTCTTTCTCATCTTCTCATTGAGTAGAAGATCCGATGTGACATCTTTCAACTCAATAGTAGTCTTACCGTGCAGGATGGTTGTTGCCAAATTATCGTACGAAGATGGCAACGAGTTCAATAGCAAGATGGCTTTATCTTCTTCCTCGATTTTCACTCCGAGGTTGGCAAGCTATGTGATTAGTCCGTTAAACACATTTAAATGTGACAAAAAATTCGTACCTTCACTCATGTGTAGGGCGTATAACTGCTTCTTCAGGTACAATTTATTTGTCAGCGTTTTGGACATGTATAGGCTTTCCAACCTTGTCCAAATTTCACGTGCAGTGTCTTCATCAATGATGTTATTTACCACATCATCTGATAAGTGCAACCTGATTGCACTAGCAGCTCTTTCATCCAAGTCAGCCCAATCCTCAGCTTTCATGGTATCAGGCTTTTTGGCATCAACATCTAGAACCTTGTGTAATCCTTGTTGGATGAGCAGATCTCTCATCCTTCTTTGCCATGTTGAGAAACCGTTATCTCCGTTGAATTTTGCTACCTCGTACTTTACTCCGGACATTTTTATTTTTCACCAAATATAGTATTACCGATAGTGAATAGTATTTCAGTGAACGAGCAGAACCTGTGCTCTAATACCAATTGTTGGGAAATAAACCCCCTACCAAAATAATATTCACGGTAATAAAAGCGGAATAATAATGTAGCACCGAGATACGGTAATTAACAAGAATAAAAGAGTAACAATAACACCAAGATTTTTACGTGGAAAACCCTTCTGAATAAGGGAAAAAATCACGACCCCGAGAGGAGTAACTGATATCACTATAGTAAGGATTTTACACTTTGTAGGCCCGAGTAAAATACTACACAGACCACTACAACACTCAAAAGAAATAACCCTCTTTTGATATTTCACCTCACTACAATATCACTCACTCTCTATTTTCTTCACAGACTATTTTCTTATACCCTGTCTGTGAAACCTCACTCTTTCTTTCTAGCTCTCAAATATATTTTCTTCTGAGATTGTGATGATAAAAATGAGAGCCGAAGCTCTCATTTTTATAGGCAGAATACAACCTACCTCATTTGACAGCTTCATACAGCATGTCATTTTTGATAGAAAACAAAAACGTGGACTGCTGCTATTACCAACTTTGACAAAAGTGAGGAAGGAAGAAAATTTCTTCCTTGAAATGTGGGCTGGACCCCACGGATATTAGTTTTGTGCAACCTCATATGTACTTGCCTTGGTGCTGAGAATGGTAAGTTTGTCTCGAGACTTTACAATTGGTAAGATTTAACAGTAAACTTTTAAGTTTCATTCATAGATATCTTAATTAATAAAATCGGTTAAGTGGTATGCAGGTATTGTATGAGTAGGTAATCACGTCTGGATAAGGAGATTTTAGTAGCGACGGGCTAAAAAAGGCAGAGTTTTAACCAAGGCAGACAATGGTATGGCAAGTGTAAAATAGGCAACAATTCTGTTAGCATGAATAAATGCCTTGAGATGAAGTCACTATTTGGCGAGTGTCAAAATATCAAATACTCCTATTATATCTTTTCCTTTTTGGTGTAAATGCTGCATGATTCCAATGTCCAAATGATTGCTTACAAGCTTTTCACTCTGCAGGATTTTTGTTGCAGCTGATTACATGCAAGTGACTTGGCAATGTAAATCCGTTACTTACACTATTCTATATTCTATATAGAGCATTGTTAAGACAAAATAAACTACTTTTCTAACTAATTTTTTTTGAATTTTAAATTTTGAATTAGTTGGTTACACTACCTTAATTAATAAATATAGATATCTTATAATTATCAATAAAAAAGAAAATACAAAAAATATTCTGAATAAGACTTATAAAAATAATTAGAATTATTATGAGAAAAGTCGTACATATACTCTTAACTAAAATCATAATAAACAGATAGTCATAAATGAAGAATACTAAAAAAATTAAAAATCAAATGATATCATAAGAATACATATACTAATTAAATTTCCCATGTAGGAAAATTTACTTAATAAATAGAACTCATAATTCCATAATGAAAAATACAAAAATATAAAGAAACTATTAAGATTTTATACACAAGATAATATATTATATATAAAACACATTATAATAATTATTAAAAATTTTAGTACGTTTTTATAAAAAGAATAATAATAAATGGCTTATCTCTTTATACTTTTGCTGAATTCAAAATTATAATTTAGTAAAAAAAAAAGATATTATTTAAATTTTCAGTAAATATAAAATGAGAAAACTAATCATATATTATAGTAGAAATGAATGTACGAAAACAAGTGGATAAAGATAATTTTATAATATTTATTTTTTGAATTAATTATTAAACAACATATAAATAAATAACACTCAAGAAAATTATTTATAAATTTAGACAGTTGAAGAATTTTAAACAGTATAATATAAGTATAAAAATATATATTTCCAGAATAAGAAAATATATACGTATGTTCTACTAGAAGAGAAGTAGTATCAAAATATTAAGTCTATTGACAAATTAATGAAAAATCGTATTAATAAATGTATAGTACTAAGTACTTGCTAATTTAATAAAGAATAAATAAGTAATAAATAATTTATTTGATTACTATTTTGCTTTGTATCCTTTGATTTTATATAGATTTTATTATATTCATGTATACTACATTAAATAATAAAATAGTAACTAATTTATCAAAATAATATGATATATTAGATCATAATTTTATATGTGCGCATCGCACGGGTTCTAACATTAGTTAGTAATAGTAGTAGGGAATTAAGGATAGTGAGATGCTGAGAAGCAATGCATTGGCTCAAAACAACCGTGATATTATGATAAAATATATTCAATGTCTAGGTAAAGTGGGGACTTCTGTAATTTATGAACTAGTAAACTTCTAACCTACAATATACTTGATGGTAAGAACTAGACTTGTAATCCTCCTTTGTTAATTGGTAATGACATTTAAGTGAGAAGTGACACAAAGAAATGCAGCCTCACTACATGGGATAGTAAGGCCCCCCATTGGATAATCGAATCCATATTCCTCCTCCGCATGCTTCAACAGGTCTTGAAACAAAGGATGCTTTAAACAAGAGATAGGAACCACGAATCGATGCTTATTATTATGGCTCTCTCCAACATAAACTGCCATGTGACCCTTGGGAACATCTTCCAACTTTGATGAAATGGTTGCAGTTGTTCTTTGACGGAGAAGAATATTCTGTTTAGCGTGCTGAAGGATTGTTTTCAGATGAATCCTCATGTCGATGAACTTCTATTCAACTTTTAGCTGGTAAGAATGTTGCAAGAAATTGAAAACAAGCTTTAAGTGATATGTAGTGTGAAGAACTAGGCTTATGGTTTTTGCAAATGAGTTCTCTGACTTATATTTTTATATATAGGGATTGGTTGGAGGAGTTACTTGATTTATTTTTAGTAGTATCCCAACAGTGTGGGACCAAACTTCACCCTAACAAAGCATGACAGTGGACTCAATTGCTTTACATTATTGTGGCAGAAAGCTCTGTTTGCTTCCCAACTTGTTGCTGTAAGATAGAAGAATTGTTTAGTTAACTCTACATTTATAGCATAGCACATAGTTTCCCCGCGCTCAAAACCGTGTACTTTGACGTTGACTCAGTTTTTTCTTTAATTATTTCTTTTTTATTGGATAATTTTTGCTACTGAAGTACATGTTCCCATGAGACATATTTGGGACCTTTGTTGTTTGGTTGTAGTGCTTGAATGCAACTATTTTTTTCCCGGCTGCTTCTCTAGTTTCTATTGTGCCATAGTTCATAGTATTTGCGGAGGAGCAGTCCTTGTTTATCACTGATAGAAGTTTCACACAAGCACAATACTGAGTCACCTAATATGGTTTTTTTGATAGTTATCATAAGGTGTTGAGTAGAATTTGAAGTACCAATAAATGATATAGTCGACAGGAATCCCGACCTTCAACAACTTTTTAAGAAAATCATATCTTGCCTCTTACAGAAATGCAGGGTAAGCTTGTGTATAATAGATCCTTGTGGTCTGGTCCTTCCCCGAACCCCGCGCATAACAGGAGCTTAGTGCACCGGGCTGCCTTATCTTGGTTCTGGGACCATGCATAGCTACATCACTTAGAAATATTAAACTATATTGTACCATGGGACCATGCACCGGGCTGCATGTTTTCAATGTAAAAATGACTGCGTTAAGTTTTACCGGTCTGCATGAATTCTGTGTTAACTACTCACATGCACGTGACTTGGCAACATAAAGCCGTTACTTCTACCTTTAGTAATAATAACAATTTGCATCAACTATATCAAGACAGCCTCAAGAAGAATGCTAGAAAAGGTACTGTCTGCTTACCTAAGTTGGGTAATCTGCACATATCTTTAGTAAGAGTGCGGAACCAAAATATGGTTTATTTTTACTCAAAATACGCAAATAAGTGTAAAAAAAAAAAGTTACCAAACTATATAT